CATGTATTTATTTATTTATCTATTCATCTTTTTATTTAATTAATTTATGTATGCATGTATGTATTTATCTATTTATCTATCTATTTATTTATTCAATTAATTAATGTATGTATGTATGTATCTATCTATCTATTTATCTATTTACCTATCTATCTATCTATTTAATTAATTTAATAAATAAATATTTATTATTTATTTGCATTGCACCCAACGAGTCCCAAATCCTTCTCCCTTTATAAAGTTCAGGCTGCCCGCCAGGCACTGTTTTATTTCACTACATCCAAATGTTGCTGCCCCGGGGCGTGCGGGGGAGGAGGGTTCGCGCAAAACCGGGAAACCCGTTGGCGGGTTTGCAAACCTGCCGTCGTACGGAGGGAGCAGTCTGAGGTGTGCAGGGACGCAGCTCAGGGCGCTTCATCTTGGAAGTCAACTTTGCAGGAAGACTCTGGTTGCAACGAGTGGAATGCAAGCCACGAGGGATGGGTTTACAGTAAAGTACAGTACACCGTTTACGGTAGTGGCTCCGTGATATGTGACCCTGGCGTTAATTGAATAAATTTTAAAAACAATCCTGTGAGGTGGGGGTTGGGCTGAGAGACAGTGAGTGACTGGCCCAAAGCCAGTGGGCTTTCGTGCCTAAAGTGGGATTTAGAAATCACAGTGTAAAGGTAAAGGTTCCCCTCACACTCATTACAAAGCCAAAGAGCCAGCAGTCTCCATGGTCATGTGGCTGGCATGACTAAACACTGTTACCTTCCCACCAAAGTGGTCCCTATTTTTCTACTTGCATTTTTACATGCTTTCGAACTGCTAAACTGGGACAAGTAATGGGAGCTCACTCCATTGAGCTAGGGATTCGAACCGACAAGCTCAACCTGTTAGCCATCGAGCCACCCTGTAAATGGTGCCTTAATCACTCCTACGAGATTTTCCTGTGCTTACTGGAAAGACTTGGCGACCGTCTCTATGTGTTATGATACTGTTTTACGTTCAGGGGTGGGATTCAAATTTTTTAACAACTGGTTCTGTGGGCATGGCTTAGTGGTCATATTATTGGCTGGGCATGGCCAACTCAATATCACTCACATCAAGGCATGCATCTCCTCGCCTGGCCTCTCATGGCTGTGGGGATGCTGCAACAGTAGTAAGTGTGGAAAATGGTCATAAGTTACTTTTTCCAGTGCCATTGTAACTTTGAATGGTCACTCCACACAAAGTACCAGCAAAGGAGGGAAAAAAACTCCAGAGAAGTTCCTGAGACAGGAAGTCTAGTCCTGCCAAGAATGTAATAAGGTTAACGGAGAGGCAGTTTCTGTAAGCAACACCAGAATGTTTCCTTCCTGCCTTCCTTACAGGATTAGGCCAGTAATTTCTTCTAACAACCGGTTCTCTGAACTGCTTAGCATGTTAACAACCGGTTATAGCGAATAGGTGCGAACCTGTAGAATCCCACCCCTGGTTACGTTACAAATGCAAACTATATATGAACATATTCCTCAGAAATTAAGACTATGGGAGTGTTTCTCCCCCCTCTAATTTACTCTTTCAAAATTGGAAAGATGTTCTAGATTTTCTGAGAATATATTGCAACGGGGCAGACGTAGTTTTTCTTTTCTTTGAGGGGGAAGTCACTTGTTCAAATTTACATTCCATATTTCCATCGGTAATTTCCAACAATATTTCACATTTTAAGCACTTGCAAATGTGAAGTTGTATTATCGTGGAAATAATCCATTTTTTAAAAAAATTAATATTTATCTTCAAATGTCAACTTTTAACTACAAAGAATTCCACTATGGATACAAATAGCCTATTCTACATCCATGCTTCAGCTTCCTAATTCAATTTTGTACAGAAAATAAATGTAAAATGTAACTTTGAGAATATTATATTATAAAATAGGAACAACTCTCAGTTTAACCTGTAATTCCCAACTAAGCATGATTACTTCTTAGTACTATTAGGCTTTGGACTAAAGTTAGCAAAACTGAATTCCACATTTGTCAAAGGTAGCAATCCATTCGTGTTGGTGGAAATACCAAATCTGAAACAGGTTTTTATTCTTTGCCCCTTTTAATTGCCCGAGTCTCAACTTGGGATGAACACAGAAATTGTTGATTTTTCAGCTGCAAATTTAACAATGACACTTTCCCAAAATTGCAAGATCTGTATGCTGCTATGGCTTTGACTCTTAGCTCCTTCTCTCGGTCACTAGCTAGAAGTAATTTGCAGATGGATAAAAAATCATATACCACACAAAGCCTTATTTTGCTTTACTTTGGTTTATTAATTGGCTCAATTTATACAAATAAAAGTAAAACTAAGCATTATACTTAGTTTGAATCTAGCAAGATCTCTGATGTTTAGCCTTAGGATGCAGAAAACCCCCATAGCTATCCAACAATACGCATTGCACCATTATGATGCATCAGCAGGCCATCATTACCTACCTACACTAAAATGAAAGATGTAAAAAAAAAAAAGGTAAAAAAGGCAACTTCACAGGATTTGGAAATCACCCAAGAAGTATGGTGGCACAGTGGTTAGAATGCAGTATTGAAGGCTAATTCTGTGGACTGCCAGCATTTTGATCCTGACTCAGCCTTCCATCCTTCCAAGGTTGGTAAAATGAGGACCCAGATTGTTGGGGGCAATATGCTGACTCTGTAAACAGTTTAGAGAGAGCTGTGAAGCACTGTGAAGCGGTATACAAGTCTAAGTGCTTTTGCTAAAACATAGTTATCTAGAGACAAAAAAAATACTGGATGTATACTTTGCTAGGCTGTTTTATTCAATGATTAGTTAATAAGTTAGCCATAACTGGCTGGGTTCACACATCATTCTTAAATTACAAGCCAAAGTTTATAAGCTAAAAGGCCTTGGTTCACATACCACAATAAGGGAGAAAAAATTAAATTGGATGCCTATCCAGCCATGCAAAAGAAAGGAACTTTTGCTCAACAATGGAATTCACAAATAAGGCCATGTTAATACATCCTGGTGGCAAAATCCCATTTCTGATGTATTAAAAAAAACCCGGTTATTAGGGGATAATTTGTTGCTTTTGTTGCAGCACAGAGGGAGAAAGGAAGCCTTATTGCTGAGATGGATCATCAAAGAAAAAAATGTCCCAGCTGCAAAGCTCACATTCCTTAATTTAATAAAAAAAATGAACGATAGCAGGGGCGGACTTATTTATTCAGTTCTAGTTCTGTCTAATGTGGCAGGATCCATGTTTAAGTTCCATATAGCTGTTTTTATTGTTCCTAAAAGTGACCTTGTCAGGTGATCAAGAGCAGGACATTTTAGAATATCCATGTTTGAATTATCCACAGAAGGCAAGGTGGACTCTCCTGTGCAAGATGGCCCAATTGGGACTTGCCTCCTCCTCCTCTTCCTGGCCATTTCTCTCAATCAACAGCTATGAAATATTAGGATTCTGCCCAATTTCCTTCTTATCCCCTTTTCCTTTGGATATCAGGCCAGATTATAATTTTTGAAGGGATTATTCTTGTTTCTTTCATAGCCAGCATTTTTAAAATGTTAGGTTTAATAAATGAATTAATTAGAATAATCTTGCAGATAGGATGACTCAATAATACGGTTCCACTTGATAAACCCCAACACGATAAAAGGTAATTCTAATGATTTCAGACTTTTTAAATGACAAATTACTATTTGAGCTGGTAATTTCATAGAAATGTCTTTGCAGAATTTTGGCAACAGTACAGAACTGGTTTGCTTCTTCCTTATGGGATTTTGTTTCTTAAATTTAGTGCCTGCTCTACACCTTTGGGATTCCCTGGCAGCTTCCCATTCACGTTGCAACCAAGCTGATCTTGCTTAGCTTCCAAGTCCAGATGAGACTATCCAGAACTGCCATCTGCCAAGACGTTTTTTATGATGAAAGCTATACATTTTATATGTTAAACCATCTGCCTTTGAATCCATTCAAACATGCAGTTCTCATACTGCACTTAAATCTGCTTCATTTCTTAATGGTTGCTTGAAACATGTTCTCAAAGCTTGCTTCTATTTAGAAATCCAAAGGGAGAAGGCTTGCCTTTTAAAGCCGAACGTTATTTCTCATATACTGCAGCAGGCAGTATTCAGTGCTTCAGTCTGAAAGTTAACAACCGAAACATTCCTCAGAAGTAAAGCAGTGGAGCTGAGTTCAAAATAAATCATTCAGGACTACAGATAATGTATATCTCTTTTTTTAATGGCATAAAATGCAACTGAAATTTAGGTCTATCCATAGGTATGCCAATGCAATTAAAATGGAATTATTACATGTGGAATTATTCCCACATGTACAGTCAAATGTCCCTAGGATACACTTGTCAAAATAGTAAAACCAGGACATCATAAGCTCTGACCCTTTCATACGTGTGTGTGTGTGTATATACATATGAAAGAGCTTGTGACATGATGCTGCTTTAGTCATTTGCTCCTCTGATATCCTAAAACATAAATTGGGAGACAAAAGAAACAGCCACTCCGCTTAAAAACTGTACCTATGTTTTGCTGTACAAACAAAATTTATATATTAATTTATGTCAATATTATCAATAGCACTGATAGAATAAAATATATCGTATTATAACACATAAAAAGTAAGCAAAGATGAAGTCAAATTGTGCTTTCAAATTTTTTTCAACTTCAAATTTACAGAAATGTTCCAGATTTTCCCTATATGTTCCTTTACTGGTGACAGAATGCCTAGCTCAGTAGGATTGGCTCTGTTACTTTCTGCCAGGCTATTTAAAACAAACAAACAAACGAACAACACAGAAAAAGTATTTGGGGTAGCTTTAGTTCAGCATGCAGTACATTGCATGTCTTTTCAAAGCCGCACTGAAACCCAGGAATTACTGCTATTCCTAAGTGGAGGTGATTCAGCTAAAATCACTCAACTAACAGTCGGATGTTCTACATTAAAAGAATCGCAACTGGGGATATATTGTGTAGTTATTGTCTTCCAGTTTTCCAAGATCTTTCCTGCAACTGTTCTTTCTTTTAGGTAGAGAATGCTAGGAAGAGAAACTTCGGAAAGGCTCAATATTATTTTTAAGTCTTTGCACAACAACAGTGTTTTTTAAGTTAGCTTCCTCTAGGGTGAGAGATTCGTTCAACAACTCTTGAAAAGGAAGTGAAGTAGTCAGTGTGAAAGGTCTTCTTCCTCGATGTCTTTGGTAGTCAGTTATGAAGTCTCTGACATGGCTTATTCTAAAATGGAAAGGAACAAAAATTAAAGCCTGATATTTTAAATCAAAATTTTAAAGCACACATTTCATGGAGTCATGGCAATTAGAAGAAACTGATTTTGAGCAAATCAGGACCTTCACCAACACCACACAGGCATACTCTAAGTCTGTGATGGCGAACCTATGGCACACGTGCCACAGGTGGCACGCAGCGCCATTTGTGCCAGCACGCGAGCTGCAGGCAAACTTACCTCACTCGGCATGCACGCACCTCACAGCCGATTTTCAGCTGGTTTGAGGCCTTTTTCGGCCTCCCAAAGGCTTGAGAAAGGCTTCTGCGGGCTTTGCAGGCTAAAACCTAGCCCCGTTTCATCACTTCCTGTTTTTCCGAAAATACCGTAAGTGATGAAACTAGTTTTTGGCCTGCAAAGCCTGCAGAAACCTTCCTCAAGCCTTTGGGAGGCCAAAAAAGGCCTCAAACCAGCCGAAAATCAGCTGTGAGGCACAGTGCAGGTAAGGGGCGGCGGGGGGGTGTGGGTGGGGATTACACACGCATGCATAGGGGGCGTGGGGGCATGCATTGCCTTCAGGGTGCTGGCACACGAGTGCGAGTGCGCAAGTACGTGCAATTTTTGGCACAGGAGCCCAAAAATGTTATCTACCACTGTTCTAAGTTCTCCTACAGCCAGCACTTTGAAATACTTTTGTCATTTACACATTTTAAGCTGCTCATTAGAGAAACAGTTCTTCCCAAATTAATGTCTTTCATGGTATGTTATGTTATGGTGATGTAAGAAAAAATCTGGTCAGTTTTTTCTGACTGCAATACAATGAAAGGAGGTGCTCTAACCTCAAACAGAATGGCTATAAGCAAGATGGACTCAAACTTCCGGTTTGCAAGACTTCAGCAGCGGCAGGAATCCACGATCGTGCGCGGTTCCCGCTGTGCTCACCGCCGAAGTGCCTCCGATCCAGTTGGATTTGGAGGATATGGTTTCCCCGTAGAGGCAACCGAAGATAGGGGAGATCCGGGTAGGGGCTTGGGGGTATCGCAAACCCCCTTCCCAGCCGGCTAAACTCCCTTTTCCCAAGGCAGTGGAGCAGCGGTCAGCAATGGCCGCCACAAAGAAGCCTGCAGCCGGACAAGATTGTGCAGGAGGAAGTCGGAGAAAGTGAAAGTTTCTGGCTGAACCGGGACAACGAGGAACCTTTAAATATCCTGGAAATTCAATCTCTTGAACGATACATTGTTTCCCAAGAAGACTGCAAAGCGGCGGAAGAAAGTCTGAAAGGGAAAGTTATTTTCTCTCACTCTCCTTCCCTACGGAAATAGCAGATGGAAATCTGAAAAACCTGCTTGGGCACAGAAGGTAATTAAAATTGAAAATTAAAGCCAAGGGGATAAAAGATTTCTGAACACTGGAATTAAAACTTTAAAATCTTTTTGCTATAAGTGGGAAGGAAGAGGTAAAGAACTTATTTTAAGATTGTACTGGAGGAGGCTGCTTGGAGTTTATAAGACCAGAAATAAATTGCAATAAGACTTCTAAAAATTATTTTGGAACTGTGTAATTGAATTCTACCCCAGGAAGAGAAAATATAAAAATAAGAAAGTGCTAATGAAATAGTTTGTCTTGATTTGGACTGCTTTGTGACTTTGGGGAACTATTTTTTGAAAGAATAAAAACATTTCGGTTGTTTTAAAAAAAAATGGCATTATCTGTTGAAGAATTGCAAATGGAATTTCAAAAGCTAAAAGAAGAGGAACAAAAAGGCAAGGGCTCTTCTGGATCTATTTTTCACTTTTTAGAAATGGCAATTTCCACCTACCAGGAAATACAACAACAAGAAAGCTGGGATGGAGAAGAAGAAGCCATCTTTAATGGACAAATAATCTTAGTTGAGGAAGAAAAGAGAAAGGGGGGAAAGAAAACGGAGAATTTAGAACTTAAAAAAGCAACCAAGAAAGGGAAAAATAAGGTGAAAAATCGATACAATGTCAGAAAGCAACAGAAAAGAGAAATACAACAGAGAGGGGAGACTAAGAGAGTGGAGATTGAGAGATGGGGGGGGGGCGGCAAAAAGGCTAGAATTGATAAGAAAGGAAGGGAAAAAGGGAAAAGAAGTCCTAAAGGTTTAAAGCAAGATGTTAAAAAACAGGTTTTTTTCAGAGACAAAGGGTAAAATATAATCTTTAAAAAAAAAGAGATTCTGCAAAAGTACGTAAGACTGTATTCTAGATATTAGTATTTGAAATCGAGTTAGAAAACTGAAATATTATATGAGTTAATAATATATTAAAGGGAATGTATAAAAATGTTTAAGATTTAACAACAGAGTTTAATTTCCTATGGAACATTGTTTTTACTATATTATAAGCCTATTTTTCTTTTTTTGTCTCAATATTCTAAAATGTAGTATTTAGAATGTACTAAGCAGAATCAGTATGGAAAGTATGTATTTTTAAGTGTTAAATTTAGGGGAAAGATAAAAAATTGTCATACTTCAACCAGTGATTACAGGAGAAATATTGTATTAGAAAGAAAAGATAAATAGATAATTGAAAGAGAACGGACAAAAGATGAAAGTATAACTATCTAAATTGAGATGAAATGAATAAAATAGAATTAAGAGAGTGAATAGAAGAGAGAAAATATATAGAAAATATAGAATGTTAAATAAGATATGAAACAGTATATTAGGTGAGCATGAATCTGATTTATGTCTGTATAAAAAAGATGTAACCTGGGGTTAAGCCGCTTTCTAAAAAGAAGTTTTATGTATTTATGTTTTGTGTTTTGTTTGTCTATGTTTGAATTAATAAAACTCTAGAAGAATGTTGGAAGAGAATAATGAAATTGCAAATAAGACAGATGGTTACAATGAATATATACAAATCAAGGTAAAAGAAATATAATTGAATAGAAGGAAAGGGAGAAATAGAGAGAAGTTGGGAAAAGATATGAAGTTGAATATATAAGATAAATATGCATATTAAACTGTGCTTGTATGGAAATGTGATAGTTTGGAATTATGCTGTCTTTAAACAAGAAGTTTTATTTGTTTTTCAGAAAAGATGTCTTATGTTTTTATATCTTACGTTTTGTTTGTGTATTGTTTTTAAAAATTAATAAAATTTGTTTAAAAAAAAAAAAAAAAGCAAGATGGACTCAGCCTTCCATCCTTCTAAGGTCGGTAAAATGAGGACCCAGATTGCTGGGGCCAATATAGGCTGACTCTGTAAATCGCTTAGAGGGCTGTAAAAAGACTGTAAAGTAGTATATAAGTCTAAGTGCTATTGTTATATCGCATTGCATATCCAAATGAATTGTTAATCCTCTATTCCAAATTAATTTTCCCTAGAAGACCGCTGAATCTGAACCATATGGTTAGTCACTGATAAGAAGAACAGTTTTTCTGTAGATACTAAAAGGGGTAGGATAGCCTTCCTTAGCCTGTTGTTCTGTATCTGTTGTTTTTCTATGCAGAAGCTTTAGTGTCCTGTATATGGAGGACAACATGTTTGGAAAAACCAAAGGATAGACTGTTCTTTAGCCAGAGAGTCAGTTCACTCACTGGTTTTCCAATCATGGCAATTTTGAGGTTTGTGGACTTCAACCTCCAGAATTCTACAGCCAGCATATCCATTGATGATAATTCTAGGAATTGAAGTCAACATGCCTCAAAACTGCCGTGATTGGGAAACAATGCACTAACATCTCAGAGAAAAACCATCAGTCTGGAGTAATGCAACTTCCCTCCACATGCCATGTATTTCTATCCATAGAAAAACACAGTTTAAAACTATTCACATTTTGCAATACTGGATCAAATCCAGTCAGATTCCAGCATGAAAAAGCAGAAGCACAACTTTATTAACAAATCAAAACAGTTTTACCTTACAGTAATTTGGATTGCAGCTGTGGCTTATTCAACAAAGGCTAAGCAAACTAAACCTAACATAAAAATCTTGCCACAGCAATCATTCTGATGTAAGATTTCCAAAAAGTTCTGATGCTTTGATTTGGTATGAAGCCTGTGGAAAATGAATGCAGCATGCACTGAGGCTCATTTCTGTCACAATGGCTGTACCACTTTGCTTAACAAGGTGTTTTCTTTTTTGGATTTAAAAAAAATACACTATCATTTTTGTGTATACTTTAAACATATTTATCTAGGTTTTATCCATGTTGAAAAGTTAACGTATTTCATGGCTCAGTATTCAAAACAATGTTTTAAAGGCACTTTGGCTGTAATCTAATACTTTCTTAGAAGTATGCCCCAATGGTTGCAATAGAATTTCATTTCTAAGTAAACATTCTTAGGAATAGCTTGGCGGGCTGTAATTTGTCTTGAAAGAAAGTAAACATCCTGTAAACTGCACAGTATATTGCCCAAAATGAATTCTGTTAACATGATCTGTTCTTACCTATGAGAAATATTGAAGTTTTGTACTATCCGTGCTCCATCTGCTAACCAAATCTGGATTCTAGTGATAGGTTCTGAATTATTTAGCACTACTGTCGGTTTTCTCTTTTCAGTTTCTTCCACTTTTTTTTTTACTTTGGAAATTATTCTAGGTGTAGCACTGAAAAATAAAAGTTTTAATCATATGAGATTATAATGGCACTTCATTCTAGATTATTTCTTATTTATAAGCTATATAGCTTAATACTGTGTTTTTCCGAAAATAAGACTGATGGTTCTTTGGCAGTTTCTTGATTGGGGTGTTGCTTACTTGATTGTTGATCTAAAGTTAACCTTGGAATTAATCTATGCTGATCTGGGTGCTGATTACTGATGGAGAGGTGCTGGAGGGTTTTTTTTTTTTCCCTTTTGGGCTGGTTGATTGTCTCTTTTGCATATAGTCTATAGATGATGTTAATGTCTGTGTGTCTATTCTGGTCCCTATTGTGGTTTTAAGATGAGAACTACGTATAGAAGTCTTCTTCAAAATCTAGAAATGCAGGCGCCATCTTATTCACATTACCCATTCTTGGGATTTCCTCAAAAGTAAATATAGGCATAGGATTGAAGCATTAAGAAGAATGAAAGAAAGCAATCCCTTCCATTCATTTCATAACCCAGTTTCAATTACATGAAGCTGCTCACCTTCCCAATCGATATCCTGCTCCAGAGAAAGGATGAAATACTGCCTTCGGCGACGTATATAACTCATCCTTCTTATCATCCACCTTCACATCCACCTCTTCTTTGTCACAGATCTTCTGCAACTCGAAAGGCAGCTCCCTAAGAGAAATACAGACCATTTCTATACTTTCATTGGAAACACAGACTATGGTTTTGATTACTTCAAACCAGTACAAGGTGGTCTGCAACTTACAGCCATTCGTTTAGTCGTTGGGTAGAAGTTACAATGGTGCTGAAAAAAGTGACATGATTTTCACACTTACAACCACTGCAGCATCCTCATGGTCATGTGATCAAAGTTTAGATGCTTGACAACTGGTACGTATTTATGACAGTTGCAGTGTCCCGGGGTCATGTGATCAACTTTTGTGATCTTCTGACGAGCAAGGTCAATGGGGAAGCCAGATTCACTTAACAACTGGGTTACTAATTTAACAACTGCAGTGACTCACTTAACAGCTATGGCAAGAAAGGCCGTAAAAAGGAGCAAAATTCACTTAACAACTGTTTTGCTTAGCAATGGAAATTTTGCGGCTCAATTGCAGACATAAGTCAAGGACTACCTGTATGTCACAGTCCAACATTTTGTTGTCAGGTTTTTCTCCCCATTTTTTTCATACACTGTACAAGAATGAAGCATTCCTATATACCACAAGACCATTTTTGCATTTAAATGTCATCATACTTTGGCCATTGAAACAGCCCAGCTATTCAGCAAATATATTACAAATAGACATAAAATGCCATTTTATTTGTTTGCCTTTCAAATATCTCAAAGAGGGGTACCATTAAAAAAATAAGTTTTGATTGATGCACTGTTTTGAGTAGACAGTCCATCCAAAATTTTGCCTAAACTGGGCAACTCACTACAGAGTGTAATGTGCCAACCCCATTAATACAAAGCTGACTTGCCCCCTTTTAATGGAATCCAAGAAGCGCTGGTTGGCAACATCTGTGTAACTTCGGAGTTCACCCTCATTTACTGTAAAACCGTTTTTCCATAATGTAATAATTGTATCGGCCTGTAAAATGAAAACACAAATTATAGTTATATCAAGAGCTGAGTGAGCCACACCATTTATGCAATAAACGTATAGTAGTATAAACATGAGTAGTACAACTTCACGAAGATCAGTCCAAAATGCCTGTACAGACCAACATCTTCCACTTATGCCTTTTGAGGCTTGTAAATTTTCCTTCCTTCTAACCATGTCCTGTAGTTCACTCACAGCTTTGTTTATTTATTTATTAAATTTGTAGGCTGCCCCTCTCACCAATAAGGTGACTCTGGGCCACTAGCCTATCAACCTCATCCAACTGTGACTTATGGCCTCTGCTCCCCTTTGACCCATTCACCCTTTCTTCATGTATTTATTTTTTCATGGACAAACACTTTTGTATTTAATGCATTTTCCTTCCTCACTTATTTGTTCTTGAGTCATTCTCCTGTTTTACCACAGATGCTTCAGGAATAACCTAGTTCTGCTGCATTCAACTTACTCTTCAGTTCCTCTTGACATGTCTCATTCTAACTTCACCAAATAATATAGCGGGTGGAAGTACAGGTAGACCTCGACTTACAACCACAACTGAGTCCAAAGTATTCCATTGCAAAGCAAGGCACAAGTGTGTTTTGCCCCATTTTACGACCTTTCTTGCCACAGTTGTTAAGAGACTTACTGCAATTGGGTTAGTAACATGGTTGTAGAGTGAATTTGGCTTCCCCATTGACTTGGCTTGTCAGAAATTAGCAAAAGGTGATCACATAAATACGAGTCTGAATTTTGATCACGGGATCCCAGGGATGCTGCATTGGTTGTGAGTGTTGAAAAATGGTTGTAAGTCCCTTTTTTCAGTTCCGCTGTAACTTTGAATGGTCACTAAAGGAGTGATTGTAAGTTGAGGACTATCTGTAATCTTCAAACAAAGCATTAGCTCCTTGCAACAGACCATATACTACTCGCTATTTTTCTACCAGCATTTATTTACATGTAGTTGTCTCTTTAATGGCCACAATAGGGACCTGAATCTCAGTCACTGAGCACAGTGCTCATTCAAGTGAGATGTCAAGCCTTGCTCAACGACTACAATCTCAGCACTACTGGATGCAGTTGTTAAGTGAACTTGCAGATTGTTAAGCAAACAGAATCCCAGGTAAGGAATGCAGGGTGCCCGAGAGGGTGGGGGGTTAGGAGAGGCCTAGCACTGGCTACATACCAGTGTCCCTCTCTGCTCAGGGTTTGAAAATCCTCCCTGCTGAAATCCCAGAAAAAACATGGGCTTTCTGGGGAAGCCAGCAAGGAAATTACAAAGGGCAGTCGCATGATTGTGTGGGGCACTTGGCAACTGGTTGTAAGCGCAAATGGATTGCCAAGAGCCCAGACTGCAATCAGGTGACCGCTGGATGATGGTTGGAAGGAACCTTTCTGAGGCTGCTGTTAATTCAAAAAGTTGTTAAATGAGAATTACCTTTCTCTTAAAATTTCTCTAACTCGTTCATTCTACTGTACTACACAAATTAACCTGCCTGTTGGTTTTTTCCTGCTTTTTTTTCTTGTAATTGTCCTTTCAAATGCAACTACATCAATACATTTGTTTCTAAAGTCACAGTGCTGGCTGCATCATATGGTCTAGCAGCCACAGTAAATCATTCAGGATTCTCAGTCAAGAATATGACATTGTGTATAAAACATATTCATACCATTACAACACACACACCTCTCACACACACACTTCAACCACCACATGTTTTTGTCTTACCTTCTGCTCAGTGTTGAGCTGTTCACTAAACTTTCTATGTATACTCATGCTTAACTTCCATCATATACCACTCTTACTGCCTTCACCAATCATCCTTTCACTACATAAATACGCAAGACATTCCTTAATTCAAGCCTATAGTATTCATTTCATCACACACTTTCCTAACTCAACAGACACACAGTAGCTTTCTTTTCCACATTCATGCGCAATGACGCTTAATGACATCAAGAACATTAATCTGATCTGCACACTCTCTGGCTTCACTGTACTTCCCAAATGTTGCAATTAGAATTCTGGCAAATAGCTTTTCCAGGGACGCTGATCAAATGAACCCCCTTGTAGTTTTTGCATTAATTCTTGCTACTTTCCTCTTTGGTAGTAGAACAATAAGATAATTCCTCATTGTCATCTATAGATTGGGTGTTGATAAAAGTTACCCTGAACGCCCTTTCTATCTATGCTGCGAGAGAGCCCAGGATGGGTTGACTCCTTCCTATGACGTCATTTAGCTGAGTCTGTACTAAGATATAAAAGCCAGCCCCCGGAAGAGACCCCAGCTTTTGGCGAAGATACTTGACAGACTGAAAGGTGTCTCTGAAAGCACAAATGAATACAGAAATATGACTTACCCTCTCCGGACGAATCAAGGGAGGGGCTGGGCTCTCTTGCAGCATAGATAGAAAGGGCGTTCAGGGTAACTTCTACCAACGCCCATTCTCCTCCATGCTGCATCGAGAGTGTGGTGCAGGATAGTGCCGCGCGGCAGCTGCTGCAGCAACCAACATTGTGCAGGCTTGCTGGAGGCAAGTTAGAACACCTCTGTGCCTGCGCAAAGTGCGTGTTTGGTGTGCGCGTGCATGCAAAGTGTACAAAGCGCGGCCACCAAGCCACACCCACTGAACCGGTGGCAACTTTATTTGAATACTACCACTGCTTCACACCCCACATCCATTTACCTTAGCCTGCTCTGAGCATACGGCCCCAATTTTCTGAGCTTCTTCAAAAAGGTTATCAACACAATCAACATAATTATTCTGCTTTGTACCATTCTGAATTCTGTCATCAGTTTTGGGTTGGCAAATCCTGCAAAGTAAGATGGAAAGCTCACATAAAATGTATTGTTTAAATCAAACATAGCCTACAGGTTATGTTTGATAAATTTGCTTTTCACAGAACTATTAAAACATTTCAGAATGCATCCATGTGTACTATATTTTTAATAGCCCTTAGTTTAATAAGACAATTCCAGATCAATCCAACCACGAAGGAGTAATTTCTCAATTCCAAATACAGTTCTGATAATCATGAAGGAGTCACACTGGAAAAGGCCAATCTAGCATCATGAAAACACATCTCTGCCTCTCTCTCTCCCCCCTCTCTCTCCTCCTGTCCCCCCCAACTTACCTCACAGGATTGTTTTGAGGAAAATAGGAGGCAGGAGTATTATATATACTCACTTCCCTGAGTTATATAGAAAAAGGAGAAGATAAAAATCCCCTCCTTCTCCTCCAGTAAGACAAACAGAACCTTCTACATCACACACAACTGTCCCTCCGTCGTCTAGTTTAGTGTGTCATTTGTTAGACCAGCATTTCTTTTATAGAGAACTAAAATTAAGCTAAGAAAACATGTGGGTTATAGTACTGCAGGATTACAAATATTTCTACTTGCATTAAAAAAAAAAGTTCTTTGCCACTGTCGACAGATCTGGAATGAAGTGCCTTCACCTTCTTCCATGTTCTGAGTGGGGTGCTTCTAAAACAACAGCTGTTAAAGAGTTCAAACTTTTGTCTGAAAGACGTATGTGGATTCACAGTATTGGAGTCAGCACCACCACTGCCATTCAGCCCTTCGCCAGGAAAGGAATGACAAAAGGCGAGGCAGCATGGAACCCCAGAAGACTCTCAGCTCCGGTAAGTAACTTGTGGCCTGTGCTGTGTGTTAGTGCTACCTGTTGAGCAACCCCACTCTTTCTTCCCTGACACTTGAGCCACACTTCAAATCTCTGGCTGCTGTTACCAGTTGATAATACAGTGAATGCTAAGCATTTTCTACCCCAGTGACTGCAATGGATGTTGGCTGTATCAGTTGGACCGTCCTACTGGAAATTTCCTGCAAGATATCGTGCTTATTTGTGGATTACAGACCGTGGCTGGAAGCCTTGCTCAGTTAATTTGAGATCCCTATCTCCATCTTATTTAAAAGGACATAATAGTGTAATTGCTGGAACTGCTTATTTACCGAAGTGGTGTTTCTAAGGATGTTGAGAAGATCTGTCATTTCATGTTAATTTTTAATTTGTCTCCAAGACACTGCATATGGCAGTCTCTGGTCTCCTAATATACGATGTAGGGTGTCTGATAATCATTCAAGCTGTCAGCCTACCTACCACAGCTTTCTTAACAGCTTGTCATCTCACTATAACACCAAATAAAGAAGCAATTATCTTGATTGAAAAAGATCGAAGTTGTACTTGTGCCATATATGTAAAAAAAGTTTCATTTATTAAAACAGTGTGACACAATGAAGCAAGAGAAAAAGCAAACAACCCTCTTAAATTTGCTTGCTAGCGTATGTACAATCAAAGAAATAGCAAGAAAATATTTCCTTCTCCTAGAAAATATAGTTGCAGTTATCAAGGGGATGGAAACACGATCTGTCTTTTCTTATATGCAGAGTTGTTGTTTTTTTAAATGAAACCTTCTCTACCCAAATCTTCAGCCAAGAGCAGCTCCATTCTTTAATGGCAAGTATAACTCAATAATTTATTATGAAGGAGAAGAGTTAATAATTACTCCAATACAAATTATATCACTTGCAGCTGTAGCAACCTGTTCACTCAGGACTGTAGAAAGCACTGAAAAGGAAAATCTACTGCTCTGAAAAAAACATTTAAAAGTCAGCTGAACAATAAATACAAGAAACAGAAACCTTACCTAAAGAAACCTTTTTCATTCTGATGCCATTCCCATTCTGATTAAATACAGTCTATCAGAAGTCAATTTATACAGTCTTCAGCATTATGAGATTGTGAGCATTGAAGCCCCAGAAATTTACAGGACACCAAATTGGGGAATGCTAGACAAGTCATGTTTAGCACACAACAGCCTAACAATCTAAATTTTAAAAGCAATGTTAGAACATAACAAGAAGGAATCCTTACGCTATCAACGCAATCACCATGGTTTCTAATCCTCAAAAATTTCAATTCTTACCTATTTCAAAATCTTACCTCTTTCTAGATTTAAGTACTTAATCCTTGCTTAACTGTAAAAGTAATTACACAACTGCTCCTGCACTTAGGACCATTGCAGTGTCCCTTTGGTCATGTGATTACCATTTGCAAGCTTCACAAGTGGCTTCTGACAAGTATAATCAATAATAAAGCTGGCAGTAAAATCCGTGAGTTGTGGTTACACAACTCACTTAATGACCTAGTGTGACTCATTTAACAACCAAATGGGAAGTGATGGTCCATTGCAGTCACGTGATGTCTCTCTTAGTGACAAGACTTACTGATCCCAAATGTGGTTGTTCAGTGGATATTACTGTATCTGCAGAAAACTTGATTGCTTCCGAGACACAAAAGCCTCTGTACACTTTATCTCTTGTGCATATAAAACAAATACACATAGAATCCTACCCTCCACTCCCTCTCACCTGTTTTTTTTAACATGCACTGATACTCCAGCAGTTTTTTCAGAGATTCACACAGTGCAGAACTCTGCTGCTTGGAAATACTCATGATAAGCTACCACTCTGTGCTAGGAGGGAAAAGATAAAGACTTACTGAAAACAGGCACTAGCATGGCATCAAGTTGACAGACTAAAGTGTCTTGAATTTAAAATGTCTTAAATTTGAAATGAATAGTTCCAACTCCCCAGAAGTGTTCTGAGCTTCAAATGGCTCCATTTAGAACTGATATAGCATTCTAAGCCCAAAACAGGATCTTTTCAAGCTCAGAATAACGTCTGGAAATAATTCTGGAAGACTGCCACCAAGACTGGAACAACCCTACTCCGAACTTGAAACAGCTGTTTTAGAATCAAAGGCTTTTCACACTTCTATCATAAATTCTTTGGAATACAACTATTTGATTAGGACTGTACAATAAAAAAGAGGCTTCCGTCTGTATTCACAAGTTTACAAGAATCTTTGCATCTGGGCAACTCCTTTTGATTTCTGTGGAGTTAATTTTTCTTCTGTAGTTATTTAGAACACTCATCCCATCATGTCATGTGTTAAATTACAATTCTGGATGAAGTATCTTCTTCAGGGGTGGGATTCAAATTTTTAACAACGGGTTCTGTGGGCGTGGCTTAGGTGGTGGGTGTGGCTTGGTGATCATGTGACTGGGTGGACATGGCTTGGTGGTCATGTTATTGGCTGGGCGTGGCCAACTCAATATCACTCACATCAAGGCATGCATCTCCTCACCTGGCCTCTCATGACTGTAGGGATGCTGCAACAGTCATAAGTGTGAAAAATGGTCATAAGTCACTTTTTTCAGTGCCATTGTAACTTTGAATGATCACTCCACACAAGCAAAGTACCAGCAAAGGAGGGGGAAAAAACTCCAGAGAAGTTCCTGAGACAGGAAGTCTAGTCCTGCCAAGAAATGTAATAAGGGTTAACGGAGAGGCAGTTTCTGTAAGCAACACCAGAATGTTTCCTTCCTGTCTTCCTTACAGGATTAGGCCAGTAATTTCTTCTAACAACCGGTTCTCCGAACTGCTTAGCATGTTAACAACTGGTTCTAGCGAATAGGTGCGAACCTGTAGTATCCCACCCTGATCTTCTTCTAATGAGCCTTGCTATTGATTTTTGATATCTTGACATTAGGCTAGAGTAATTCTTCCATCAAAATATCTTCCTCCTCCAAAACTGAAAGCAGTTAACTCTGAAAAGCCTTCCAAAACAGCCAACTTAGTGGCAGCTAAAAGCTTCAGAAGACTGAAGCATCTGCTTAAACCTTTATTCTACTCTAAACAATGCTAATAGTAGCTCCATACTTTACACAGAAAATTAGTGGAAACATATGCTTGAGTTCTTATTAGGTTTATTAATAAGCAATTATCAAACCAGTAACATCTACCTACCATTCTGGATTCAAGATTTCAATCTTGTCAAGTTCCTGCATTTTCTTCCCCCTAATGTTAAAACAAAGTATTTCCATCATGAAAGAGAACAACTTTTCTAATTCCCAAACATAAACCAGTTAGTTACATGCCTAAGTATTCCTAGGCAGGAGGTGGGCAAGTTTCTTCCCAATTCACAAAGTGCAGGTAGTCCTCGACTTACAAGAGTTCGTTTACTGACCATTTGAAGTTACAATAGCACTGAAAAAAAGCAAGCGATGACCCTTTTTCATATCTATAACCATTGTAGTGGTTGTACAATCATGGATCTGTGATCAAATTCAGATGCTTGGCAACTGACTCATATTTATGATGGTTGCAGTGTCCCAGAGTCATGTGGTCGCCTTTTGACACCTTCCTACAAGCAAAGTCAAATGGGGCAGCCAGATCCACTTAACCACCGTGTAACTAACTTAACAATTGCAGTGATTCACCTAACAATAGTGGCAAGAAAGGTTGTCAAATGGAGCAAAATTCACTGAATTTCTCAAATGTTTCACTTAGCCACAGGAAGTTTTGGTGTCAATTTTGGTCATAAGTTGAGGACTACCTGTATTTGTTCTGGAGTAAAAGGGCAGCCAAATAAGCCCCTGGTGGTTGCTAACTATACAAAGAACCAGACTTACTTTCCCTAGTTTAAACTGTCAACAAAAGTCAAATTGCCCAATGTTGGGAGGCATCCCGGTACTTCAAAGTGCACCTTCAATGCAGCTAAAATTCCAGTTCATAAAATATAGATTAAAGAATGGATTAAATTAGAATACTAAAGGAAACTAGCATAGTGCTAGATGATATTCATGTAAATTATTATTCCAAATAATAATACTGTTCTGTTTGTATTTTGCAAATATAAGCTTCGTTTCCTTTCTTTTTCAAAGATTGAAATATCTTATATTTGTACTTATAATTTTTTCTTCTTTTTTAATAAGAAAGAAACAGTTGATTTTTCTTTTTCTCTCATTCTATGCTGCCTTCACCTATGCAAGCGTAACTACTGTATATCCATGGTTAATTTTGTTTCAAAGATTCCAGACATGCTGTAATTATGAGACAGGCCAATTTCCCCTATTAGAACACCAACAGTTCATTCGGAAATATATATATACAGGTGAAACTCAAAAAATTAGAATATTGTGCAAAAGTTCATTTATTTCAGTAATGCAACTTAAAAGGTGAACCTAATATATGAGATAGACTCATTACATGCAAAGCAAGATAGTTCAAGCCGTGATTTATCATAATTGAGATGATTATGGCTTACACCTGATGAAAACACCAAATCCACAATCTCAGAAAATTAGAATATTGTGAAAAGGTTCAATATTCTAGGCTCAAAGTGTCCCACTCTAATCAGCTAATGAAGCCATAACACCTGCAAAGGGTTCCTGAGCCTTTAAATGGTCTCTCAGTCAGGTTCAGTACGAATCACAATCATGGGAAAGACTGCTGACTTGACAGTTGTGCAGAAAACCGTCATTGACACCCTCCATAAGGAGGGAAAGCCTCAAAAGGTAATTGCAAATGAAGTTGGATGTTCCCAAAGTGCTGTATCCAAGCACATGAATAGAAAGTTATGTGGAAGGGAAAAGTGTGGAAGAAAAAGGTGCCCAAGCAGCAGGGATGACCGCAGCCTGGAGAGGATTGTCAGGAAAAGGCCATTCAAAAGTGTTGGGGACTTTCACAAGGAGTGGACTGAGGCTGGAGTCAGTGCATCAAGAGCCACCACACACAGACAGATCCTGGACATGGGCTTCAAATGTCGTATTCCTCTTGTCAAGCCGCTCCTGAACAACAAACAATGTCAGAAGCGTCTTACCTGGGCTAAAGAAAAACAGGTCTGTTGCTCAGTGGTCCAAAGTCCTCTTTTCTGGTGAGAGCAACTTTTGCATCTCATTTGGAAACCAAGGACCCAGAGTCTGGAGGAAGAATGGAGAGGCACATGTTGCAAGATGCTTGAAGTCCAGTGTGAAGTTTCCACAGTCTGTGTTGATTTGGGGAGCCATGTCATCTGCTGGTGTTGGTCCACTGTGCTTCATTAAATCCAGGGTCAACACAGCCGTCTACCAGGAGATTTTGGAGCACTGCATGCTTCCTTCTGCAGACGAGCTTTATGGGGAATGCTGACTTCATTTTCCAGCAGGACTTGGCACCTGTCCACACTGCCAAAAGCACCAAAACCTGGTTCAATGCCCATGGGATTACTGTGCTTGATTGGCCAGCAAACTCGCCTGACCTGAACCCCATAGAGAATCTATGGGGTATTGCCAAGAGAAAGATGAGAGACATGAGACCGAACAATTCAGAAGAGCTGAAGGCCGCTATTGAAGCATCCTGGTCTTCCATAACACCTCAGCAGTGCCACAGGCTGATAGCTTCCATGCCACGCCGCATTGAGGCAGTAATTGCTGCAAAAGGGGCCCAAACCAGGTCCGATATTGTTCTATGTACAATCCTTGTTTTATTGGATGCATGTAATATTTTAATTTTGAGATTGTGGATTTGGGGTTTTCATGAGCTGTAAGCCATAATCATCTCAATTATGACAAATCACGGCTTGACCTATCTTGCTTTGCATGTAATGAGTCTATCTCATATATTAGTTTCATCTTTTAAGTTGCATTATGAAATAAATGAACTTTTGCATGATATTTTAACTTTTCAAGTTTCACCTGTATATACATGCTGGCTTATTAAAAGTACATATTTAGCCTATTGCAGTAAAATAGTTCTTTATATAGTGCATATACAGTAGTCCTCATTTAGCAGCAGAATTGGACTAGCAACTTGGTTGCTAAGTGAAACCACAATTGTGTTTATGATTGAACTTCACTTTTCTTTTACCTTACAGACCTGTGAACATCATAAATGTGGTGACTGGTGACTTTTTCATTAAAGTTATTAAAGTTGCTAACTGAAGACTAAAGTTATTAAAGTTGCTAACTGAAGACTGCTTGTAGTTCAATTATGGAATTTTTTTATTAAAACATATAATAACGGTAATAAATTCTGATGGCTTCACATAATGTATGTACCACAAGGCTGTGGTTGACTGCCAGTCATGATAGCTAACATGCTGTGAAAAAGTATTTGCCCTCTTTTAGATTTGCTGATTTACCTATATTGCCAAATATTTTCTGCCCTATCCTAATGATAGGAACCTGAGTAAATAAATAACGTCAAAGTTGTGCAACTGTATCTTTTATTTCATAAACAAATGTTGTATAATAGGTAATATGCTAGCATGAACAAGTAATTGCCTCCTTAGATTCAGTAACTGCTTGTAAAGTCCTTTAGCTGTAATAACTGCAATCAAGCCTACTTTCTATAACTGATGGTCTATTGCTTGCATCGCCATGGGTAATGGTGCCCTATTCCTTCATTGCAGTTACTTGAACTCTGTAGCATTTGAGGTTTTGCAACCATGAATTGCGTGATTCAGCTTCTTGCTGCAACATTTCTATAAGGTTCAGGTCTGGAGTTTAACTTGGCCATTGTAAAACACTGAAGTTAGTTTTCTTCATTTGTTCTCTTGCATGTTCAGGATCATTGTCCTGCTGCATGATCAACTTTTTTCTTTGCTGACAGACAAAAATTCTATAAAATTCTGATAGAAAGCCAAATTCAAGATTCCTTCAGTGACGGTATGTCATTCCTTTCCTGAGGCAGCAAAGCATCTCCAGATCATACATATTATCTTCTCTGTTTGATAAGCGTGTTGGTATATGATTGTTATTGTGGAACAGAGTGTTTGCTTTCTAATTGAATACCATCTATGTAACTCCCAAGGTTCATTTTTTACTATTTTCCACGTTCCTCCAGAAATCCAAATGCTTTTCAGCAGTAACCTGATCCCTATATAAATCTACAGACTGTTGTTGGATTCTTTGTGACTTCAAAGATTATTTTATGCTGCTCTCAGAGTAATTTTGGCAGGACGGACAAAAATCTGAAAGGAGCAAATATTTCTTCACATAATTATACTGTGTGAATATATAAGCAGATAGATAAAAGTGAAGAAACCTTTATCTAGACAGCAGAAACTGCTTTGTTAACAATTGGGGGGGGGGAGGTAAGTAATCCAATGCAATAATAGCAGTAATGAAGTTTCAGTAATTCTAATGTATTTATTATAACATCTTTATCCTACATTTTTCTAAGAAACAACATAGCTTTCAATGGGCCTTTCTTATGTTTACATGTGCATTATCAGCCCTATAGGCAAGACTGAAAGAGAATAACTGGCCTAAAGTCACATTACATAGAAACAAATTACGCTGGCACCATAATTCCTAAAATTCCAAGCCAATATTGTCTGTCCATTGTTCAGGTTCTCATAACATGCAAAGCCATAATGAAGTTTCTTGGTTTTAAATTAGAATATGTGAATTAAACCACCCTATTTTGTAAATAATGGTTTATAACTGAACATATTTTGTAAACCTATCCAATGATATATTAAATCATAGCTAGGGACTTCAGTGCAAGGCAGTCATGATTTGTTTATTCAGTAAATATGGTAAGCCAAACTGTCCAAGTATCTTGTTATAAAGTAGCCAAAACCAATCAATCACACTAGCTAAATTCTATGCATGGAACTACTTTTAAGATATTTGATTTATACTCTGCCCTTCTAATCTGGTTTCTAATCAGTATTATCAGAAGCTGCTGAGAAGACCAGGAGTGTGACCAGATCCCCATACAGTTTTCTGGTACAGGATACCATGACAATGAAAGAAATGTCAGTACTGTATCTCAACTAAAGTCCAGAAAACCCATGACTTCTAAAAAATGTCACTGTATGCAGGGGTTAAATGATTTCTGACAAATTTGCAAACAGACATATCCAAAGCCCTATTTTTCTAATAAGATTAGTGCATTTTTTGGGGCATCAAGAAACACAGAAGGCACTACTGCGCTGAAGAAAAAGGATGAACTGCACCCAGTTAAGAAGAAACAAATGTACAATGGTTTTTTGGTACCAAAGCAGCTGAGGTTCACATAATATGAATACTGTAGAGCAGGGGTATCAAACACAATTTACCTGGGGGCCGCTGGAGGCAGAGTCTGGGTGAGGCTGGGCCGCATAATATTATACTTTATATTATACTTTATATTTATATTATACACTAATATTATACTTTCATATCACAGTGGGGGCCACAGGATATCGTCCTGCGGGCCGCAATTGGCCCGCGAGAATGAGACCTCTGCTGTAGAGGGAGATAAAGAGCAGGAGGCTGATGATATTTTAATCTATTTGTAACACATCACAAAATAAGCAGTCCTATATCTCAACAATCCAAACATACTGATAATAACAATTGATAGAGCAAAAATGAAGGGACGTGCTGTAATGTAAGCTATTGTTTCTTAATCTTTTGTTGTTGTTAGATGCAAAGTCATGTCCTGGACCCCATGGACAACATTCCTCCAGGCCTTCCTGTCCTCTACCATCCTCCCATTTAAGCTCACGCCTTCTGCTTCAGTGACTCCATCCAGCCACCTCATTGTTTTTTTCTCATTCTGTTTTTTTCCTCATTCTCAGCCACCCCCTTCTCCTATTGCCCTCAATCTTTCACAATCTTATTTGAATCTTAAAGCTGCAGTTCCAGCTTTAAAACAAACACTTGTCAAGGATCTTCTTTACCCCTGTGTCAGTTGTTATTTCCCAAATGTTACCATCTTACTTTCCTAGTCCCTCACTGTCAATGTCTAACACAACACACAATCAACTTAACCATAGTTTACTGAAGAAATCCAGCTCCTTGGGTTTGCAGATCTACCTAATCAGATCTCGTCCTATTTATAATAAATTAACCAGTCACATTTTCCTGTAGCACGATGTGGAATTCACGTGGAAACCAATGATTTTTAAGTATTTAATTAGGATACTGAAGGTATTTCTCAATATGGATTTTCTTTTTCCTCAGGAGAGGTACTTTTGCTTTACTTCGGAAGAACAGAAATCAGAAAGGACTTGGACGCTTTGGTCTAAAAATACCATTACAGTATGAGCTCCTCGGAGGTTACTTCGAAGCGATGAACTGAATACATGGCAAAGGAACGGGGCGAGGAGACTGACACGCGCGTACTTACTGGGCTGCACTAACTTTTGGACGCGTATTACTATTGGACGCGTATTGTCGTCCAATAAAGCACAACTGGGTACCGGCCAAAGCCACACAAACATTGTGGTTTAGCACGCTCTGGCCCTCAGCCAAACTATACTTTGCAGACTCAGCATCCTTTTTTAAAGAACTTGCGTTGACCGCGAAAAATTACAGCGCCTTTGGGCGGCGCCAGTAAAAACGTCCGCGCCACCCGGGCGCCTTCTCGTAGAAACCGCTTAAGTTTGGGCTCGGCGCCCAAAACGCCCGACTTCCCTTCCCTTCCCCAACCCATCCCCGAAATCAAACTGCTGCTTATCCTGCCTCCCCGCGAAAGCCTCCACTCCCGGCCTTCCCACGAGTGTGGGGAGAGAAGGCTCTTCCCTCCTTCACGCAACTTGATCCAACCCGTGAACTCCCCGAGGTGCCGAGTCACGCTTCCCGCTCGACGGGAGGCCACTCTCCGCTTCCGGCGCTAACTTTTGCGCTCCTGGGCTTTCTTTGCATAAAGGGCTCGAGACTCCCCGCCAATTCCGCTCCAAGCTGCGGAAGGCCCTGGCTTGCTTTTCCAGGGCCGGTGCGTCGCTCCCTCCGACAAGACTCACCTATTTCCCCTCCCCAAAGGGGAGAAAGCGGCAGCCGCCACGCTGCGCGATTTGGAACCGATTGCGTAAAGGCCCCGGCGACCAAGAGGCAAGGGCTCTTTTCCCGCCCATAGAGGGGAGGACCTTGCTGCCTCTTCTTGAACCGGAGGGAGGAGCGGATTGGAACGTTTTGGCGGCTTCTGGAAGCGGTATCCCTGCTGCTTTGTTGCCCTTGTTAGCTGTAGTAGGAGCGGGAGTTGAGTGCTCCAGCGGCGGAGTTTGGCCACACTTACGGAGAGATGCGACAGCAACAGCTCAGCTATCGGAAATCGTCTGCCTGCTCCCCTAAATACAAATAAGCTGGGAGGAAGCCCCGTGGAGCACGGCGGTGTTGTCTTTTGAGAAAAGGGTTCAGACCGTACAAGTTTAGATAGTAAAGCAATTTTCTTTTTTTAAAAAAATGCATTTTTAATCTGTGTCTGCGTTCACGGAAAAAAAAAGTGATAAAGAAAGGTTGTCTTAAAAACAGCTCTCGCAATCGCTTACCCCACCGGACTTGCAGAGTGAAGATAGAAACCACCGACTTTTGTACAAAATTGTTAAGGCTTTGGGCGAGGCGAGGCGGCTTTACTATTTCAGGTTTAGCATTACCCCATCTGCAAAAGAAATGGTTCGCATTTCAAGCCAAGTCGTGGTTTGTTTAACGATGGTTTCTTGAATGAGTTGATCTGGTTCATGGATCACGTCAAGTCATAACGAGACCACGTTTATGATTTAACCTGTGAATACTGTCATTGGCAAAGGACTGTGACTGAGTAAGAGGACTGGTAAAGGGTCCTATCTGAAGCTCTTGATGAGGCATTGCATACTGGACAGCAGAAACTTAGTTCAGCTTGACATCACATGGCTGGTTCCTCTATTTCTAATAGGCTTCTTTAAATTTAAGTTTTAGATCTTTTTTTTTAAAGAAAGCTTATCAATATTCTGAGGCCATTTCTCAAGATTTTATGAACAGTAGAAAAATGCACTGAAATGGGCTGACCTATTTTAGAAACGATATAAGCAAAACATCTGATTCATTTGCTCACAGGAATATCAGTCTGCATCTTTTGGGTGTATCCAGTGATTCCATCTGCTCAGTGCTGTTTTGGAAACAACTGGACGTACCATCAATTTTTTACAAAGGCATGACTGCCTGTGGTGCATGCTTAGATGGTATATCATTGTCAACTATATCTTACCATTATCTTATCATAGCATTGTGTTTTCCATGACTTGTTATCACAATAATCCTTAGAAACAAGAGACCAAAAGATTAATTTTAAATTGTTTGATTTAATGTGTTAGAATGCCTGCCACTTACAGGATTAATGTGCCTTATGTTGCCATAACAAAGCAATAATTTTCCATTTAATCTAAGGATGAACAAATGTTGGCTCCTGAAGACTGCTTCAATGTTTGTATGACATTTAATGAACCACATTATACTGGGGGGAGGGGAGAGACTATGGGCATTTGGGAAATAATTTTCAGAAGTTTTAAAGGGTAAAATTAGTGCTGCAAGCACCTGCAAACCTTAATGCACTAATATTATTCTTTAACTCCTCCAAGGTTTCCCAAAATGTGTCTAAAATTTTGACTCAACTCATTTGGGGAGATTCTTGGGAATCAGAAAAGAATGATGGACTGCTTGCAACCACTAAGCCACAAGTATTGTGTACTTCGTTCTGATCTCAGTCACTCCAAGTGTTTTGGACCATGATAAGTCTTGCATTGGTCAGACTAACGAGTTAATGAGAATTCAATTTTCTGCATGATAACAGATTCTTCACTTCCAATTTTTACATACAAAAATAATCTAAGGCTCTTGCCCCTTGGCTAAAGCCTCATGATCCTAATTTCAGAAAAGTAGTTGATGAAAAATGTGGTTCAAAGAAGAATAGCAAGATGGAAATCATTAAAAAGCTGAACACTAACACTTGTCCCAAGTTTGTCAGAAAGCGTTTGAAAGATGCCAGGGGAGGTCAGGAGAAGGAAAGTTTATGAATAAGTGAGAAAAGAATGAAACATAAATTCTGTTTGTATCAGAGAATTTTACAGGAGAATACTGGTCAATCTGCCATATGAAATGCAAGTGAATCAAGACAGTGACCCCAGACATAAAAGCAAGTTAAATAATGAAAGCAAGTAAATAATGAAGAACAAATTCAATATTTTAGAATGGCAAAGTCAACGTCCAAATCAAAGCTCCACAATAACACTGTCAGGACTCAAAATGAGCAGTTTATGCCAAGAAAACCTCTAATGTTACTTAGCTGTTAGAGAAATGGGATTAAATCCCCATAGATGATATCTGATCACCAATTCCAGGAGGTGCTTGCATGTAATTCTTACAGCTAAACATGATGCAATTACTTACTGAAACAAAGGGGCAATAGTTGTTCACATTGGTCTACTGCAAGCTAGATTATTTTGTTATGAAATAAACAATCACCAATGTTTGATGTTACTTGTTTATTCAGACTCAGTTTTAAATCATTAGGACCCAACACTTTGATGTGTCAAAATATATAAAAACTTAAAAATTCCAAAAGGAGGAAGGATATTTTTTCATACAATTGCAAATCTGATAAATTAATGCAGAACCATTCCATATTACCAAATATCTATACAACAATAAGTTTGTAAAAAAACCATAGTATTTACTTGTTCTCTAATGCAATATTTGCAATAATGGGAAGTTGCTTGTGTTAAGTATAATTTTTTGTCAACATGCAGTATTTTATCAATATGTTGCATATTTTCCTTTTTACTTTACTTTATTGTCATTGCACCTTGTACAATGAAATCAAACACCATCTTCAGTGCACATCATGACCATGACCATGAAAATAAACACAAACACACACCCTTTACCCTTCACACATTGAACCGGAAACTCCCAACACCACACCAACACTGCACTATACAGCAGAATTCAACAGAGCTACTGCCCTGGGATAGAAGCTGTTTTTCAGCCTATTTGTCCTTGTTTTTATTATTCTGTACCGTCTGCCAGATGGTAATAGTTCAAAAAAAGGTTGCCCAGGATGAGATGGATCTTTGAGAACGTTTTGAACTTTCTTAAGGCAGTGGGAGCTATAAAGCTCTTCCAAGGAGGGGAGAGGGAAACCAATTATCTTCTGGGCAATGACGTTAACCCTCTGGAATGCTTTCCTATCTGCCACTGTGCAATTGGCAAACCATACAGAGGTGCAGTAAGTTAAAATGCTGTCTATGGCGTAGCAGTAGAAAGTAACCAGCAGTTTTTTATTCAGTTGTTTTCTGAGAAGTCTCAGGCAGTGTAATCTCTGCTGGGCCCTTTTGACCAGGGCTGCAATGTGGGCACCCCAGGTAGGGTCCTCTTTTATGGTAACACCCAGAAACTTAAAACTGGCCACTTGCTCCACCCGGTCTCCATTGATAAGCAAGGCCTGGATGTCTGATCTCTTCCTTCTATAATCCACTATAAGCTCCTTGGTCTTATTGGTGTTGAGGACCAAGTTATTGTCTCCACACCACGAAAGCAACCGGTCCACCATATCTCGGTAGGCAGACTCATCTGCCCCGGAGATGAGTCCCACCAAATTCATTAATCATAAGGCACATAGAGAAAAAAAATCCATAACTCTGACTTCAGAGTTTTCATTTGGAATAGATTATACATCTGTATCCCTCTAGGGGACTTGGGAAGCTGCAGCTCTCTAGATGTTGCTTAATTACAAGTCCTAGGCAATGGTGAGGAATACTGGCAGTTGCAATTCTGCCATGGATGTTGTAATGCATCCATTTTGTGATCCCAGATTCACTGTTTCATGAAATCAATATATCCATTAGCCACAGTGAAGCATCTTGTTACAATATTTTCTTTAAAGATAAAAAAATCCTGAAGATAGCATATAGTCATTGGAAGTTGAGTAACATTTATTGAGTTTATTTACAAACATAAATAATAAATGTAATTGTGGAACCTAGCTTCAAACATCTGTTGATCAGGAGCCCTATATTCTCCTGGAGACCAAGATTTATTTTTCAAGCTGGTAACTTTGTTGTATTCCGTAACTCAGCCAGACCTTCTGTTGTTTCTTTTCACCCAGGACTAAGTTACATCATCCTTGATTAACTGGGTAGGGAAATGAGTATATCCCTTGAGGCATATGGAGGAAGTCTCAGGTTTTTCAGAACAATTAGTCTCCTTATTAAAACAGGTATTCAGCAATTTTGCAAGGGTTATGAAGGGAAATATCAATAAGCAGAATGTTTGGTTCCTTAATCCTCATTTTAAAAATCCTTTCCCAACATCTGTTTCAGTCCCCTGTGCTGGTCAAATAGCAACTTTGCAGAATTACTACCACAAATGGTAGAATGAATACAGTATTTTCTAACAAAAGGATTCTAACAAAGAACGGATAAACATTTACATTGCAGTTATAGAAAATAATGAAAATCTGACACAAGAAGAAGTAATTTTCCAACTTGAAATTTAAACACGTATTTGTTTTGAAATAAAATGCAAACTGGACAAATATTAACCAATGGTTAACAGTTTCAAAGTTGCTTAGAAAAATGATACCTCCCTTCCCCATATGTTCATAATGCTCTTTTAGGGATTCCAATCCCTCTGGGCATTTTTTCAATACATACTACTAGTTTTTGCAGAACATATTTCATGTGACTAAGGTTCAAAAAGCAAAGAGAATGACTGAGAAGGAGAGTAATGCAAATGACTGAAATCATATCTCTGTGCAAGAGAAAATTAACATTAAGCAGATGGCTTCACTAATGTGCAGTGACTTGTCTGATCTTTACTGTCTTGCATCCACAGAGCTAAGTGACACTGCACTGATAGTGTTGCCAATGTCTAAAAACTGATTTTTACTCTCAAAAATGTTTCGTAATGATGTTCCTAGGTCAGTACAGTATGGATGAAAAAGGGACATAGTATAAGATGAAAAGGGGACAGAAAAGT